TCCCTTATAGATAGAAAGAAAGAAAGCAGAACGACACACAAACGAAAACAAAAGCATAGATCAGCACACGACAGCATGCTTAGACTTTGAACAACCCACACTGGCGACCAGTGTTGCCACTTTTCTTTGACAAAAAACATCCAAAACGGTGTAAAAAATATCTAAAGGCCTCTAAATTTGCGTAAAAAACATCTAGGAAAAACATCCAAAAGGAAAGAGTCACAAATTACATAGCAATTTATGTGACTTACCCTATAGAATCATGTCCCCATCTTTATTGTTGTCTGCCTCACAAGATCCACAGAATAAATTTAGCTTGGATGATGAAGTTAAAGCTTCAGATCCAAAACGACTCTGGTATGCAGTTTTTTTTTTTTTTTTTTAATATCCAAACAGGGCGCTGATAGGTGGAACACCCTTTTCCTACTCTTATCAGGCCGAATTTTATTGTCAGATAGCATTTAAAACGTTCAATTTCATCCTGTTTCTTAGGTTAGATTTGATACATTCACTACAATTGTAAAACATCTAGAAACAAACATCTACCATCTAAACGTCAAAAACGCCATCTAAATGCAAGAGAAACACCTAAATCTGGATGTAAAAAATCCAAAGTGGCAACAGTGCTTGCGACATCAGGCAGTGATGTTTTCACAACAGCAACGAAACTTGGCTAAAGTTCTTTAGATTCTGAGAGTTATGCGGTCTCAGTCGGTCTCACGTTTAGGAGCAGCATCCAACGCGGAGTCGTCTGGAGTAGAATGATTTCCGTAAGTAGAAGATTGACAAAATCGTTAATGCACATCTTGGAGTTCTGTGTGTTTTCCTGGTGACTGTGTTTCCATAATTGTGTTTTGCATTAGAGTGTTTTACTGAATCCGTGTCTGATAATGTGCACGTTCGGTTGGTGGGCTGACTTTAGCCACTCGCCCCCCCCCCTCCCCTCATGTGTAAGGATACTAGAGAGCACGTGTAAACATGCATAACAAATTTATTTGAAATTCTTTGTATTATTTGTTGACAAATTTTATATTATTTCAAGTACTTTATCAAACTTATTTGCGATTCAGCAGATTAATAGTAATAATAATAATGATCAGAAGAAGAAGAAGAAAAAGAAGAAGAAGAAGAAAAAGAAGAAAAAAAAAAGAAGAAAAGGAGGAGGGGCGGAGGAAGAAACGAAGGAATAAACTTTATTTTTAAAGGATTACAAATTGGGCACGCTTGAATGGGATTAGACCATGTATGAGCTGTGTGTTTATTCCTGTGGAATGTCTTTCATTTGTGCAGCGACTGTGTCTTGGTCTTCCGTATATCCAGTAGCCGGTTTACGGGTGATAATAATTATACGTGTGTGTACAATAACAGCTTATCGTGCCTGACTACTTCTATCATCGATAAGCTGAATTTCTGGTGGCGATTGTTGGCTTTGGCGCCTCCAGCAACTGAAATACGCATTTCCTGCGTACGAATATTTCTGGATTGTTCGGGGACTAGTTGTTTGTTCACCAGTTTTTCAAATGCGACAGGAATCAGTCGAGATAGAAGATTATTATAGCCTGGAGAGGATGAGGCCCCAGGGTGTAACCAGAGGGTCTGACCGGCGCACTAAATTTAAAGGAAAGGAAGGCGGACATATAACCAGATTGTGACTGGTACCGTCAGTTTTTTGGAACTCTGCGCTGGCTGCTGAAGATAAGGACAGAGCATACATGGGAATGCCCCGAGTGCTGTAATGTCAGTTCTTGAGTCAACTCAACTCAGCTCAACTCGAATGCGACATTGAGGGACATTTTTCTTTTGATTTGCTCACTAAAGTATGCGAAAACCAAAATGCAGAGTTGTTTAAAGTTCGACTAAGTGTCGACCAGGAGGTAAACCAAAAAGAAAGTGGAGAGATAATATACAAATAGGTCTGCAAAATCATAAGCCAGATCTGTAAACCTTACAAGAAGGAGAGAAAGAAAGTGCAAAAGGGCAAATAGATACAATGGTTTAGGTTAAGGTTTAAACAACTGATCAACATCATGGCACAAGGGTAGTAACCCATAGGTGGTCCATTCTACTTCTGACTCAAGCCTAAGTCTGAAAAATCTTAGCCCAGTGCACAAACTCCTTAGCAATGGCTAGGATTCCAAAATACTTTTCGTAGATTTTTAACTCCAAATTTTGGCCGGGCAGCGCCGTTAGGTTATTCTTTTTCAATTTCCAACTAGCAATGGATGTTTTATAACGTTCGCAACAATACACACGGGCGTCTGATCTTACTACCCAGAGACCAGGGGAAATTATTAGAAGTCGATGTGAAAAATTCCCAGCTTCAACGGGGCTTGAACCCGGGATCTCAGTCTGATCTAGGTCAGAGGGGTGTCACGTAATACTGCTGTCTTCGTGGGGGGGGGGGGGGGGGGGGGGGGGGGGGGGTGTGGGGGGGGGGGGGGGGGGTGGGGGGGGGTGGGGGGGCGGGGGGGGGGGAAGTCTCTCGTGTGACCTAGGTTGAGGCTGTGGGTAGGGGGATTTGGGTTAGGGCCAGTTCTACATATTCTGGCGTCGTTGAGAGCTGTGTCGTTCGTGTACTATAGAACATGCGACATCGACGCTGATATAACTGGCGGCAAGACAACATGACACCCCTCTGACGTAGAAAAGTATGAGAAAGTATGAATGAAAGGTCACGTTGTGTGTAGATGAGCAGAGAAAGACCCCACCACTCCCAACAACAAACGACCAGCACCAACACCACCAACCACCGGATGAGCCAGGATCAGAGGGCCCAGCATCTTTGCAACCTTATAAAATTCGGTGGCGGGTTGAGTTCCCTCTCAGTGTTTTAAATGGTTGAGGGGCTGATGGGGTCTGGGCCACCCACCCAGGTTCTTTGTTTAAGTGGTGAGGAGGTCGTGGCCTTAGCTACCCACGCCCCCTTACCCCCCTCCTCCCCACCCCCGCCCCCCTCCCCACTCCCACACACACACACACACACACATACACACACATTTGTTCTTTTAATTTAGGGGAAGGAAGTGGTGTGTGTTCGCCCACACGCCTACATTTGTTGCTTTCTTGCTCAGATCCAGGTCCCACTTGGGTCAACAACTCTGACACATGAGGTCCCGCGGTGCCACCCGCCCACAGACTGGGCCTCCAGTATCTGGATCGACCCAATTCTTTGGGGATGTGCTGACCCAGAACCTGTCTTACACACGGCGCTGGTCCCAGAGACTGGGGAAGGCAAAGAGAACTCTCCAATGCCCTCTCAGTGTAGAAAATATTTCAATAGTGAGCAGAGAACAATATCTTTGAACTAATCTTGCCGAGATAGACGCCAAAAAGGTAAAAAACGTAAAGTCGGGAGATGTGAACCAGCTTCAATGCACACGGTTATGAACCATAAGTGCTCTGCCACCAGTACGGACAGCTGATAAGAAACTGTCCGCCTGTGTCGCCATCCGCACATAACTCTGTAGCTACAGCGACGTTCCTCCATTTACCCCAGAGTATCAATCTAGTACTCATTTCCTAGAGTTAGAGGCTGGGTGAACCCTGGGAACCGCCCGGTTTCGAACACCGACCGTGGGCTGCTGCGAGTCGCAGCTGGGTTTGAAAGCGAGCCTCTATCGACTGCGCTAACGTGGCTCCCTCTGGAGATAGACGCCGGTCCTCGTCACAGGTTCAACAAACTGTTATCATGTAGCAAGTCTTCTGTAGTTTATGGCAGGGCTGCCAATGGGACTTTTTTGAATAACCCCGCTAAGCTGAATAAAAACCCAAGCAATACATTGGCAAAGAACAAAACGACAAAATAAAAAAAAAATAAAAAAACAGATTGTTAAAAAGTATAAAATTTATAGTTAGGAAACGAAACATTTACCCGCTTTAATTATAAGAATATATTTTTTTTTAAACCCCAGATTTAAAAAAATGTGAACCCAAGGCGTTAAATAAAAACCCAGATCTGGCGGTAGAAACCCATTATTGGCAGCCCTGGTTCATGGCCTCCCATCGTGTCCTGCCCGACAGATATGACATCTCTTGATTACCCCCCCCCCCCTCCCACCCC